CCTTTGGGAAAAAAAAAAAAAAAAAAAAAATCCCTGCTGGGTTTTCGGGCTGCCTGGATTTCCTGGGCGGATCCCCCCCGGCCCGCCCGGCCGGGCGGCGGCCCAGCCTAGATACAAACGACTTTTGGCTGAGGGTCACATCAGAATTCCTCACAGAATCGGAGATAAAAATGAGAATAACAGAATCACACTATGGCACCCCCGTTTAAACCGCTTTAGCCCCTTGAAAACCAATTTATACCCCTCTTCCCCCCCCTTGACAGCGAAGGCTCAAAAAAAGAAAAGAGACCAGATTTGGGGTCCTCTGGGAGAGCGCATGCAATTTTCTGAGCTCTCCCAGAGGACACCAAATCCGGTACCCCGGGCGTCACCCTAAATCCGGTGCCAGGCCGAGCGTGACAATCTTCCTAGTTTGCGAAGAGTTTGACTTGGAATGCTGTCACTCGTTAAGCATTAGCTAGATCTTGTTTGGGCAATGATTGTCGGGAACTCAGCGTTAGGGTCCCCGACCACCTTTTTGTCTATGCTTCGCATTAGTGTATGCATGAGTCATGTGAAGTCTTGTCAGTCAAAATCTTGTTTGGTCAACGATTGCGAAGCCCAAGGGCATTTCTTTTACTGAGTGGATGTCGTCGGGAATTGCACTGTGGTGGGTACAGCAAAACCGGCCGCTGAACGTGCAGAATGTTGCTGACGCACTTCAGAAACATAAGATCAAGAAAACAGCAGTCCAGAAGCTCCTGGACTCCTTGGCCGACAAGAATGCCGTTTCATTTAAGGATTATGGCAAGCAGCGGATATATGTCGCCAGGCAGGACCAGTTCGAGATTCCATCCACAGAAGAGATGGAAACTATGAGAGCATACAATGAAAAACTGCAAGATGAAATTGCGGCAATAAAGAGTACAGTTGCAGGACTTGAGTCAGGTCAGAAGACTCTACGGCCCCTTTTTTGGCAGAACCGTTGATGTGTGTGACCATAGGAACTGTGGGAATCAATTGCCATTCATTCAAAAGTTGAACGGTTTTCAAACACAATGGAAGACTACAGTCACTACACACACTTTTCCACATTCTTCTTCTTCTTCTTCTTCTTCTTCTTCTTCTTCTTCTTCTTCTTCTGCTTCTGCTTCTGCTTCTGCTTCTGCTTTTCCACATTATTCTTCTTCTCTTCTTCTTCTTCTTCTTCTTCTTCTTCTTCTTCTTCTTCTTCTTCTTCTTCTTCTGCTTCTGCTGCTGCTGCTGCTGCTGCTGATTCTGCTTTATTCTGCTTCTGCTACTGCTTCTGCTTCTGCTTCTTCTTCTGCTGCTTCTTCCTTCTTCTTCTTCTTCTTCTTCTTCTTCTTCTTCTTCTTCTTCTTCTTCTTCTTCTTCTTTGTCTGCTCCTCCTCCCCCCCCTCTCCCCCTCCTCCAGACATTCTCCCTATTGTTCTTATTCTGCTGCCGCCGTTGCTTGCTGCTTTCTGACCCTCTGCCTGTTTTCTTCCGCCCCTGTAATTTGGGTGAATGTTTCCGCTTTTTCTTTCTAAGGGGCGCCATGGAAAACGTTGGGCTTGGTGGGAAGGTTGGGGGAGGCTGGGGGTGTATGTCTTTTTTTTAGGAAAAATTGTCAGACATTTATTCCAATTTATCTTTTTTCTTCTGTATGCACAGATATGCGTTCTCTGGAGTCCAACCTGACGTCCGAGGAGATCCAAAAGAAGACAAAAGTTCTCACTGAGGAGGTGAGTGGCAATCAGACGACTGTCGTCACCCCAATAGGAACGCCCGTTTTTTATAGCTGGATATGAGCCAACCTTCAGGCCCCAGTAATCCAGGTTGAGACGTGGAGGGATTCCCGGCCTCCGATGTCAAATCGGTATAATGTACTATAATCATATTAATCAATGCGAACTCTTAAACCACCACTACCTTTCCCAGGCAAACTCAAAGTCCATCTAGTAGCCTACTCCTGAAAACACGGGGCTCGGGACAGGGTTGGAGGCCGACGAAAAAAAAGAAAAAAAAGAAGAAAAAAAAGAAGAAAAAAAAAAGAAAGAAAACGAAGAGTCCGATGTCGGGAAAGGCCCTCACGAGGGTGGAAGTTGTACCAGTGCTTGGACGAATGTATCTGGCTACTATGTCGGAAAAGGGATTGCATGTCGTTTTTCTTTTTCTTTTTGTTTTGAAATCCTTGTAGTGCCCTGCCAGCCAGACAGGGCGTGTTTCACGGGTGGCACGTAACTGTCTCACTGCTGTAGCATCATGTATCTGCCCTCAATCACAGGAAAAGGGATTCCTCCTTTTTTTTTTTGGTTGCTTCTCTGTTTTTTCCCGTACACGCCCTCACTGAGGGCACAGTCACACAAGTGCTTGGACGAATGTATCTGGTGGTTATCAAGGCGTTCGGGAAGTCTCTTTTTTTCCTTTTTCTTTTTCTTTTTTTTCCCTTTCTTCTTTCTTCGATGAAACTGCCCCGGCTCGGCCAAACTCGGTGCGCAGTGAAAATCAGGGTCGGCAAAAACAGGTTCGGAGGTAGTGGTGGTTTAATTAAAAAAAAAAAAAATCTTGCTGGTTAAAAAAATAAAATAAAATCTTGCTGGCTAAAAAAAAGCAAAAAAAAAGCTATAATGACCGGGTGTTCTATCCGCGTGAAGGCGATAGTAGTTCATGTTATGACAGTTATGCGCTATGATTTGTTTGGGACCGAAGGCTTACGATCCTGAAGGACCAATGACCGGAGAATGATTTTTTTTTTTTTTTTTTTTTTTTCCGGGAAAACCAGCCGGAGCCTGTTGAAAAACCAGTGGAGAATGATTCAATTTGGGAGGATTTGATTGTTGTTGTCTGCACTTAAAAAAAATAATATTGCAAAGCTCGGTGCCTATTGGAAAACGGCGGGGTACAGGCTTAATTAATAATTCCCCAAACCCCCTACTGCATTTAGAGGCTTGTTCCTTCCCTCCGTGATGCTGGCGCAAAGTGAAATCCGCTGTCTTCATTTTTTGTTTCGATCATTTTAATTCTGGTCGTCTGATTTGTATTTGGATTCGAACTTGAGTCTGTATTTCAACAGTTCATGGGTGTACCAACTGAGCTCGGCCAAGTGAAACCTCCGCTGAGTCACATTTCTTTTCCTTTATGAAAAGGAGAAAGAAAGAAAGATTGATCGGAATGCGTTAGTTCTTTTGAAACAGGCATCGCATGTAAAAGAATTGAGGTAAATTCGGAGTTACCGTACTCATCCGATTCCATCTGGATTGCATCTGAATGGTCCATCTGGATTCCATCTGGATTCCCACATAGGCATATTTATCAACATTTCATGTGTGCGGAGTCTGCGGAATTTCAGCCAAATGGGCGGCGAATCTATTCTGTGCTCGTGGAAATACATCTGTGCAAGAGAACAGTAAGAAGAATAAAGGCGCAGTCCTCCCTCGGTGAAGGTGGGCCAGGAAAATGCAAGCCGGCCCTAAGTGAAGGCCCGCACCATGGGGGGTTCCGGTGGTCTGCTGAATGGGCATGGTAGATTTTCCCCTTTTCCTTTTTTTTCCAAAATCTTCTGTTTTTATTTTTATTTTTTATTATTATTTTTTTTTAATAATGTTTCCCCCTTTCCCTGTTTTCAACTTTGACAGAATGGGTTCCGAGAACTTAAGACGACTCTTTTCCGAGTCTTTTTTGAGGTACTGGAATATGAGTGAAAAGCACAAAAAAGTACTAAAAACTTAGAAATGCAAGGAATATGAGCGAGAGCGATAGACAAAAATCCAAATTGCAAAATCACAAAGTAGCCCAGATAGTCATGTACCAAGCAGAGAGCGTAAGTGCACCAAGATTCCGTCCAAATAAGAGCAATACAATGAACTCGTATGTCAATGTTGACGCCCTCTGGCAACACCTACACAGCATCCAATGTCGCTCCGACTGATTGGCGCCCAGCACCCAGCCTACGCTACTCAGCCTATCTAGCCTATCTACATTCATGCAACAGGATCACATCGAAGTTGAAGACCAATGTACGTGACGTCATCACCAATGCAGACCGCCAGCATGCACCAGGTACGTTCTTTCTCCTCCCCTCATCACACCCTGTCTTCCCTCTGCACGCGCCTCCTACCCGAAGACCACCATCCACCCCATCACCGCGCCTGCGACCCAGCAGCCCGGCTATGGCCGCCGTGCGCCCCTCTCACCTCTTGCGCTCGTGCATGCGTCTGGCCCACAGCATAGCGCAGCAGCTCATGCATCAACGCAGCAGCGTCTAGAGTGCCCTCACCCTGGGCACTCACTTTCCTATATGGAAAGTGTGCCCCGCCATCGGCAGCTCAGGGCCAGGCGTGTGGGGGCCCAGTAGCTTCAGGCTGGCCCCAAGTGTCTGCGCCCCAGCAGCCCGGTTTCATATACTGGCCTGGGCCTTGTGCTATTAGGCATGTCCAGGTAGCCCTCCAGGCTCCAAGTGTTTGCCGCATTCTCATTGGCTCGCGGAAGATGTGTGACAAAAATGCTGCATTCTCATTGGTCCGTGGCCTCTGAGTGATGTGTCGGCCTCTCACTGTGTGTGCCCAGGGTCTCAACCGAATGAGCCCCCCTGGGCTCAACTGTACGACGCAGCTGCTGCTTCTGGAATGAGCCAGGGAAGGCTCATGTTGTTCTGTAACCAACTGGCGTGCTGCAACTGTCTGATTGCCCACTTATGTAAAATGTTGAAAATAGGCCTCTCGTGGTTGTACAGGCCCCGCCTTCAGTTAGGGCGGACACGAGGCTTGCTGGGGACCACAGCCCAGAACACTTGCATGCCCGAGAAGGGCTCCCCGAGGGCTCAATCCTCGCAGAAAGTAATAGAAACTTTTATATTTTTTTCCCCTTTTTAAAGAAGGGATTCATATTTTCCTCTACGAATGTTCATCTAGTTTCACCTGGATTTGAACTCAGGTCTGTACTTCAACAACAGTTCATGCTTGTACCAACTGGACTAAGCCCATTGCATATTTATTATTTAATATTTAATATTTATTTGTTGTTAATGCAAGGAATATGAGTGTGAACGGTATACAGAAAACCAAGTTGCGAAATCACACAGATGTCCGAGTAGTCGTGTACAAGCCGAGAGCACAAATGCACCGAGAATCCATCCAAATAGAGCAATACAATGAAGTAATGAGCCAATGTTCAAGCCCGTAGGCCACACCAACACAGTATCCAAAGTCGCTCCTCTCTGTCTGGCGCCCAGCGCCCAGCCTATTCTACTCGCCTATCCTACCGATAGCTGTGTTCACGCAACAGGCTCACTTCGACTCTCGAAGACCAATGTACATGATGTCAACACCATAGCCGACCTCTCTTCATGCACCAGGTACGTATCTTGTCACCCTCATCACACCTTGATACCCCACACTTCGCCTCCTTCCCTGAAGACCACCAGATCGCCCTCCTACCCCCTGGCGCCCAGCAGCCCGGCTATGGCTGCCTTCGCCCCGCTGCCCTGCAGCGCCCCACTTCACCTCTACGCGCCCCGTCAGCGTCCTTGGCTGCAGCACAGCATCAAGCAGTAGTGCAGCAGCACTTCCGCATTGCTTACGCAGGCCAGAATGCCCGGCCTGGGCTGCCTCAGTTCCTATATGGAAGTGACAGCCTCCTGGATGCTGCATGTGGCCTGGCTGGAAGCTTCCAGTAGGTTCCGGTTGGGCCTCAGTCCCTGCGCCCAGGCCCGAGACTACAGTTGAGGGCCTGGGCCCCATTTACAGTTGGGCACGGCCTGAGTCTCCGGACTTGGGCTGTTTGCTGCATCTGTGCAGGGCTCCCAGGTAGGTGCGTCGACAGTACGGCTTTTGCATAGGCCGATGGCCTGCTTCTCAATATATCGGCCCTGCTTTGTGTGTGTGTGCCCAGGTGCAACTGTCAAGGCCTGGGCCAACTGTACAACGCAGCTTAGTGAGGCTTGCGCGTCAATTCAACCAACTGGCATGCTGCAAGAGCCTAAATGGTAAATACCCACATATGAAAGTGTCGAATTTTGTCCTTTGACGAACATTCAGGCCCGCCTTCACTCAGGGCGGGCACTTGGCTGCAGGGGGCCTTTGCCCAGAACATGTGATGTCTGATAGGGCCCCGTGAGGGCTTGTTCCTCGCATTAATTGTGGCAGAATAAACATCTGGAATCTAAATTGATAAAGCTTAAAAGCTGAGTGTTTCCCCTACAGATATGTCAATCTAGTTTCACCTGGGTTGAACTCAGTTCTGTACTTTTCATTTAAAAATTAAAAAATATTATTATTATTCATGGTAACCGCCCGGACGTCCGGACTGGGTTCCAGACAGTCCGGTGTCCGGTATCTGGTGTCCGGTGTCCGGTGTCCGGTCCCCATGTCTGGATGGAGGCCCCTGGGGCAAAAATCAAAAAAAAAAATGGGGCGGCCCAGGACGTTTGTCGGGTCCTAGCCGCCCCTTGAAAAATAACGAGGTGATTTTTAAGTGTCCTTTCACCCCACCGGACATGGCCTAGGTCCAGACACAAGACACTGCAGGTTTTTGAGGTGGCGGCTTTTGCACAGGCCGGGCAATTTCAAAGCGGTCGTTTCGACGTGACGCCCGCTGCTCCTGCTCGTTAGGGAGAGAGAGAGAGAGAGAGAGAGAGAGAGAGAGAGAGAGAGAGAGAGAGAGAGAG